CAGTCCTCGCTCCGGCCACACTCCGCGTGCGCCCCACCGCCCCGACGCAGTATGGCCTCCCTCAGCTGCCGTACGCCTCGCCTTCCTCCGCGCGCAGGCGCAGGCGCCGCCTGGCCGCTCGGTAGTCCTGCGACCGCGCGCAGGCCCTTCCGACACGCGGGCGCCGCCGGGCCGCTGACTACAACTCCCGAAAGGCCGCGCGCCAGACTGGGGCACGCCGCACGGGAAGCACAACTCGCTGCCTTTCCTTTCTTTCGGCTCCGGCCCTCCCTCCCGCTCGCGTGGGGTTCGAGTCTTTGCAAAAACAACAATCCCCAGCAGCCATTGCGCAGTTCTTGCGTTTTTCTCTCTCTCTCTCCCTCTCTCTCTCTCTCCGGACTTAGGAAAACTACAGATCCCGAAAGGCTTCGCGCAGCAGCCAAAAGATGAGAATTCGCGGAGATGGCAAAAATAATTCCATAGCAAGGAAGTGGGAGCTGAACGGTAGTAAACATACTTAGTGGAAGTATTGTGAGTACATTCAAGCAGGGAAGGATTAATAAGTATTGTCACCAAGGAAGGAGAGGAAAAGGCCTTCCAATGATGTGAAGCGGTGACACTTATTTTTTAGTAATTTTCTCATTTGCCTTTCCTTCAACAAGTCTTTTCCTTTATTTTATCCTTACAACAACCCTGTGAAGCGGAATAGACTGAATGATAGTGGCTGTGTTTGCTCGATTTGCCTATTCCGTGTTAAATGAACTGCAGTTTGCTAACACAAATCCAGAAAATTGAGCTGAGCAAACTATGGTTCACTGAACACATACGCATGGCTTAGCAGCTGGCTGAATCATGGTTAATTGAGCACATTTAAATGAAAAGCCATAAGCCACAATTTACAAGTCACAATGGCAGGGATTTTCGCATCATGCTCAGCCGAAACCAAACAAACCATGTTATGTCACTATGTGATGCATGATCCCTGCCTAAGTATTTTACTTGATTAAACTGATTTTCAGGCATGGCAAGCATAATTTGGAAGAAAACCTTTCCACTAATGCCACTGCTTGAATCGAAGTCAATTTGCGTATTAAAGGAAGGTGAAGAAATGCACGCTGGCTTGAAAAGCCCTGGCATGGCTTCCTGTTTTGGTCATCTCGACTGCTTTCTTGGGCTTTTATATGGCAACATGTGATGGCCATCAGGGGAATAAAGCCTTCAAAATGGAACATCAGACTCACTAGGTCAGCCCCAAACAGCTTCCAACATCCTTCTTTTTGGTTTGTTGGGACATCATTCCATACACAGCTCTCTTCTCTGAATAAAGTGTTTCTGCATTAACCGCTGTGTGCACTTTCTAAATTCAGCTGACTGTGCCAGATTAAGCATTTACACACAGTATCAGGTAAGGATATGAAACTATGTCATACTGACCAACCCAGACTACCGAAAGATAAAAGTTCCCTCGGATGTGGACCTGGGGAAAAAATGGAATTATCAGGTAGTCCTTGTTTAGCAATCATAATTGGGACCAGCAACTCGGTCGTTAAATGAAGTGGTCACTAAGCAAAACTGCAACTGTGCTCATGATCTGGCTTCAGCTTTCCTTTGCTTTACAGACCTTTTTTTTAAAATCTCTTTTTTATTATTGAGAAGAAAAAAAAACACAGTGTTTTAACAAAAAAGTGTAAGAAATACAACAAAGAAAAAAACATGTATGTCACAACAGTAAACAATTACAATTCTATATATACTTATCTAATGCAAATATTATTCTAGTACATATATATTTCTAATACATTTATATGACTATCATGTTTATTTTTATTTTTTTAACCTGTTTTTTTGTATAAATGAGTCCCATATTTCATTGTACTTGTCCATACAAAGTCTATGTCTATAGGCAACCTTTGCTTTACAGATCTGCGAAGGTTGTAAATGCAAGGACTGGCCGCAAAGTGACTTTTTCATCACTGTCGTAACTGCAAATGGTCGCTGTACGAGGCAATTGCTAAACGAGGACTACCTGTAATTGCTTCTTCCCTGACATATCAGAATAAGAGGAAAACATTTGACCTAAAATCCAAATGCAAGAAGCTACTGCCACCTTTCCATCTAATGCACTGAGGTTTTTTTTTGTCAATGACATGTCACAAATCAGGAAACATTTCCACAGAATTGTCACTGGATGTCACTCTTGAGTCATACAATTTTCAAAGTGAGACTTGTTTGTTGGGGGGAATTAATTTGGTCTAGGGTTTTTAGTAGAGGTGACAATAGTGCTTTAATTAATCACCCTCTGTGATCATAACTAGAACAAATTTAAGATTTAACACCCCCCCCCATGAGTTTAATTATGGTGGGTAAACCTTACAACATCAGTTCTCACTTGAACGATTAGTTTTCACCACCAACTGCCCGAATGGCAAATTAAGGGTTTTGCAAACCATATTACTGAAGATGAATGTTCAGATTCCTAGATTATCCAGGGTGATAACCGTAACTTACGGTTTTTCGCGTGATTATTAATGATGTTGCATTGGTAATTCACAGTCTATGTTGGGGAGGGGAATGCTGAACACTTTTTAAAAAATAATGTTTATTTAAAGTTTTAATAACAGTAAAAGAAAATACAGACTAAACTCAGAAGGAAGAGAAACTCAGAAAAAAAAGAGAAAGAAAAAAGAAATAGTTAAAGAAGCAGTTTCCAATCTTCACAACAACAAACACACTTAGTGATTCATCACCCCCGGAAATGCTGAAGACTTGAAGCCGCGTGGAGATTTATTTAGGGATCACTATCCAAGATACTTCTATTTTCTTACACCCAAATTACCCAACGCGCCAAGAAGCGGGGAATCTAAAACTACATTCATCAGCATTTCAGCAGCTGAACGAAGAAAGGGAATTAAAAGGCGGCCTTTTCCTCCCCGGCCATCTTCTTCCCTAAACTTCCCCAGACGAGGGAAGGCTGATCTCCACAGCCCCGTGGGTCGAAGCCCCGCCCCCCTCAGACCCTCCCAGGCTGGCCGGTAGTCGGGGATAATGGGACCTGTGGTCCCCAGGACGCCACCGGGGGACCTCCGCTGCTCCGCAGAAACCAGGCCCTGACCCCGGGGCTCTGGCGGCTGTACGGAGGGCTGCCGACGTCCTCTTCGAAGGAGGCTGCTTATCCTGGCCTTCCCCGAGGCCGGGACCGCCTTTCTCCCTATTTGGAAAGGCGGGCGTGAGCCCCGGCCCATCGTCCAC